ATTAACTATACCAGAGACTGCCAGAAGAATGAAAAAAATCTGTGTTGAAAGAAGCCTTGAAAGTGAGGATAGCAAGACTTCATCTCACGTGCGTTGAACATGTTATCAGGAAGGGTCAGTCCCTGAAGAAGGACATCATGCTTGTAGATGTCCTTGTAGAGGGTACAAGTAGAGGTTCAGTGAAAACCGTGAATGAGATAAATTGATACAGTGAGCTCAAACATAGGAACAATTGTGGGACTAGCCCAGGACCCAGCTGTGTTTCATTCTGTTGTACATATGAGTTGGAACCAACTCGATGACACCTAACAACAGCAAAACATATAGCTACAGAAAGATGTCTGGAATAATGTTTTCTCTAATGCTAATGAGTGTTGGGATTGTTGTACTTTCATCTTTATACCTTTCTGCATTATTTCGAAGATTTACAATTACGTGTCATTTTAACAAAAATAATAGTTGCTAGTATTTAAAAAAATGAACATAAAGCACCAAAATTTAATTCTGGGTAGTTGAAATATGGATGATTATTAATTTATTCATTGTGCTGTATTTTTCATTTTTAAATGAAATAAATTTTAAAGAGTAGTTACAAAAGTCTTACAGATAATAAAACAGGTATGTTTGATTTTAGGTTGGGACTGTCCTTTCTAAACAAATAGGAAGCCTGAAACCTTAGATTTAAAAGGTCTTAGGTTAAGCAACACAAACAAGGCAAAAAAATACTTATCAGAAAATGAAAATTAGGGGAAAAACATATGCAACTGAAATGGGAACGCTGCCCTTTTCCTTTCTGCTTTCCCCATAACTGAAGTGCTTCATCCATTTCATTCTTTTCATTCCATCCATCCAACATTTATAGAATATCTATTGTGTTCTAGGCACTGGAGCAAAATATACAGTCGCTGCTCTCAAAACATGCTCTCTACTTCTCCTCCCCACATCTCTGCATATGGTATCTATTACGTCCCTGAAATGAAGATGAAGAGCCTTATGGCACTCAGCTTTGTAGACTGGTCAGGGCATACTAAGGAAACGTGACAAAGAACTCTGCTGTTTCTTGACTTGAGTCTCAGATCTTTGGGTCTCATGACTGGGCCCAGAGACGGATCTCTGATTTACTGTCTTTCATGCAGGACCAGAACCAGATTGTCTACTACATTCGCCGTGCACCAGTTCCCATCACTCCAGAGAACTTTCACACAACCATACAGTTTGGGACGATTAGAGGTGCCTACATACCAGCCCTGCTTCGGCTGCTCAGTGGAGTCTATGCTCCTCAGATATTTGCAAACAACACCTGGCCCGAGAGCATTCGAAACCAGTTTGCTTCTCATTTCCACAGTTTCTTATCATGTCTGACAGGTGAGTAGGAAGGCCTGAGGGCTTGTTTTTCACTTAATGCCCCACCCATACTAGTGGAGCAGGTGGGAAATTTGTCTTGGGTGCCTGCATTGCCCAGCCCAGACTAGGTACCAGTGACATCACTTGGATTGGTGTCATCTGTGTGGTAACTCATGGTGTCATACTTCCCGCCCCCACTGATCTCCAATACCAGACCATACAGAATCCTCGTTGTTGCCGCTTTTACGTGCCATCGAGTTAGTTTTGACTCACAGTGACCCTATACATGGTTTGTGAGGCTGTAAATCTTTATGGGAGCAGAAAGTATCATCTTTCTCCCGAGGAGCGGCTGGTGGATTCAAACCGCTGACCTTGCAGTTAGCAGTCCAGTGCTTATCCTTAAGCGCTTATAGTGCCACCAACCTTCCCATACAAAAACCCTTAGTAATGTTTATTATTAATTTCAATCATAGAATAATATATGAATGATATCGTAAATTGCTTAAATACAATATTTCTTAGATCATATGAATACAATTAACAAAATTGTTTTGTAAAATCTTTTTACATTGAATTACAACATTATTTTGCTTTTGTTTTTATGTGCCATTAAGTTGGACCTTATATAGGGTATCTGAGGCAGTAAATCTCTGTAGGAGCAGAAAGCCTCATCTTTCTCCATTGGAACAACTGGTGGGCTTGAAGCTCAGACCTTGTGGTTCTCAATCAGGTGCTCATCCTACAGTGCCACCATACTCCCACAACATTATTTTCAGCATTGTAAGCACTGAAAGGAAGCCTCTCTTGATTTTTTTTTTTTTTACCTTCTTTTACTTTCATTACTACTTAATGCTCAAAAAAGTTATTGATATAGATTCACAGATACCAATCACCACAATACTGTAGCTAAACAAACAAACAGAAAATGAGACAAGATTAGTGACCATAGGAGTATCATCAGCAATGAAAAGAGTAGCATGGGGTGTCATGCAGGAAAAAAAAAAAATCACATGATTCAAAGTATCACTGTAATTGGGTGATAATGACAGCTCTGGCTGGAGTGCGTTTTATTATTGTTGTTGTGTGTCCTGAGTTGGTTCCGACTCATAGCAACCCTGTATAGTTTTTCAAGGCTGGAAATCTTTACAGGAGCAGAAAGCCTCATCTTTCTCCTGTGGTGGTGGTGGTGGTTATGTGCCGTGGAGTCTGAACCGACTCATAGCGACCCTGTACAGGGTTTCTGAGGCTGTAAATCTTTACGGGAGCAGAAAACCTCATCTTTCTCCCGCGGAACAGCTGGTAGTTTCGAACCGCTAACCTTAAGGTTCGCAACCCGATTCGTAACCACTACGCTACCAGAGCTACTTATCTTTCTCCTGTGGAGTGCGTTAAAAGTTCAAAAAGTAAATTAACATAGGGGACTCTTGGGCCCAGAGTCAGTGACATAGCCACAGATGACTAGAGTGGAGAGTGAAGCATCCAGTTGATAAGAAGAGAGAGCATATGCATAAGAACACCCACATTTTCAGATAATACCCACTTGACCTGGCTTCTAGTTGATCAGAGCTCAACTAGAAGAAGAAACAAGAGGAAAAAAAAAGAGTAATTTGATACAATTTGATGAACTTGACCTACACCTATGGATGCAGTAGCTCAAAAGGGAACAAATTTTTATAGCGAGGATCATTCCCACCCCCTCCATACACAGAGTAGACAGGGATGGGCAACTTGGACATTGGCTACCCAAAATGGGGGCTACAAAGGTAAGAAGTGACTGGCTTACAAGCTTTCCAGAGGGAACCTAGATCCAGAGGGCATGGAGGAAGGTAGAATCTCCACTGAGTAGTATCTGTCTAGGCGGGGCTGATAAAAGGAGATGTGGATGGATCTCTTGTGATACGATAGTGAATAATTGTTATCAGGACTGATTGTGTGGGTTGGAAATGTAAAGATAGACATTTTGTAGCAAAGGAGGGGAGTAATTGACTTTGCAGTCTAGGAGCAGAGGTCCCTGGGACCACCAAGAGAGAAGAATAGAGAGCGGGACTCTACCCAGAGAAGCAGCGATGCCAGAGATGGAGGCAGAGATGATAACGTGGAGAGATGGAGCGGCTGGGGACTTTAGACCCAGAGTAGAGGAGGGGCTGTGTGCTGATGATGGGAGACAGGCTTGCAGGGTATACCCTTTGGTTGGTTATTCATGCATGGAGGGGATTGTAACCTTAGCAATGTAACGATATACGATAGGATGGATGTAAAGCTAGTGTTCTTCCATGTAAACTATCACTTAATTCACACACACACACACACACACACACAAATAGCAAAGGTACCAAATGACCACTTAAAGTTTTTTAAAAGTCCAAAAGTGTTCCATTTATACAATGGTGGGATACTTCACCAGGAGTTTCTGTAAAGTCCAGAACTGTTTCAGCTAAACCAGAAGACACACAACTTGTATTACTGAAATGGTCCTGGGTCAGTGAGTCCAATAAGATAAAAATTGATAGCTACATACAAACAGATATGATCTTTGCTGGTTAGATTACTGAGATTATTCAGACAAGTTTCTCAACTGTGCTATATAGCTAGATACAATTGAGAAGCTTTCACATAAAAGTTGTATATAATGTCAATTTAATTGAAAGAAAATAATGAAACTAAGAATGCATCTCGCTGTTGGAAGAGAAAGCAGGGGTTATGGTGTGGGCACTGAGGGCAGAGCCTCAGCACACTGGGCAGGTTAGTTAGGTGATGCTGAGTAGGAAGCATTTGACTTTTTCTGGTACTTGCAGCTTAGGGACCAGTTTCTGTTGTGGCTGTCCAGTGTTTATCCCAAAGTGTCTGAGTTAGTCAGTTTGAGGAGTGGGTTGTGGTTTCTGTTTCTTCTTTAAAACTGCACACACACCCCAAAAAAACCCAAAAACAAAAAACAAGTGATGATGTGTATAGGTCATGGCCTTGTAGCTCCCCAGCAGAGAAGGGGAGATGGGCAGGAGGAGAGTGGCTCCAAGTTTGGCTGCTCTTGGGGGAGCAAATACCTTCTCTACTCTGGCCCCATCACAACAAATCACAACACACGCCATCACAGCCATAGCCGCCTCCTATGTCCCGATTTTCTTCGCCCCTGTTGGGTCCAGTTTGTCGTGTTTCTCAGCCCACTAGAGGTATCAGAAGTTCCAATTTTTCAAAGCAGTTTCAGTATTTTCAGTATTTATGTTGGGATTTAATAATGGTTTGTGGCCAGTAAAGTTTCAGCACCGCCCACACATGAACAAAGGCCCATTTCCTGTTCTTGGCATCTCTGTACTTTGTTGGTCCAATTCAGATAGCAACTTCAGTATGCTCAGTGTAGCCATATCGTGGCAGGGGTTCACATCCTTTCCAATGCCATGGCTGATCAGAGGTGGCTGAGAGGAGCAATTGATTAGAGAAACAAACTCATTTTTGTGTTTTGGCAAGTCTTTGTATTCAACCTGGAATCCCTGGACTCTGGATACTGGTATTGCTCAGAGGGTCTTCGTAAGAGGTCCATGGGGTACATGGCTTGAAGAGATGTTATTTTTTACAATTGTCTCAATTGTCACCAACTTCTAGGCTACCATGGCAGTCACGGTAGTGTGATCCTTGGTGTGATGTCCGTGACTGATGCCCATGGCCTGCACAACCTCAGGCACCATGGGAAGAATTCCAGCAGGCAGCTACTGGTGACTAAGATAAGACATCCTGAACTTTCTTTCTTTCTTGTTACTAGTTCCATTGTCATCTGCAAAGCCAGATTTTAAAAAGATTATTTTTCTTTCATCCCTTGGTTTCTTTATCAGTGTCTTCTCCTCCAATTGGAGTGCTGGTTTGGTGGGTTGAGCCTGTGGAACTTTGAAACCAAGGAGCTCCAGCATATTGGCTGCATTGCATTTTGCCACCTTCTGATTGGTGCTTTGGCAGTGTGGTTTCTAACCTTCACCTACAGAGCAAACTCCCTGTGGCGCGGCAGGCATCGCTTGTCAGGAGCATGTACTCTGGCTCCTTCTCCTTATTTACTTGCTGGATCTGGGCCAGTGTACTAATTGGATTCATCCCTTGTCCTTACTCTGGGCCTATGTGTAGTTTGACTACGAATTTTGTTTTCTTTTTGATTCTGGGCTTCACTTGACCGATTGTAGGGAGTGGGGGAGGTAACTTCTTCAGTTCCTCAAGAACAGCTATGTTGTTGTTGTTGTTGTTAAGTGCCGTCGAGTCGGTTCCGACCCATAGCGACCCTGTACAGGGTTTCCGAGGGTGTAAATCTTTATGGGAGTAGAAAGCCTCATCTTTCTCCCACGGAGCAGCTGGTAGTTTCGAACCACTGACCTTAAGGTTCGCAGCCCGATTCGTAACCACTACGCTACCAGAGCTCCTTAACAGCTATAGTAGCATTTTTCTTTGAAATCTTCTTGCTCATTCCTTCCCCTATGAACTCTCTGACTGACAACTTGGTCACAGAACTCTTCATGTGGGTGGTCCACTCTTCCAGGCAACCTCAGAATTTACAGGCAAGTTCCATTTAAGTGCAATCTCACTTGATTCATTTTAGATTTATTAAGATTTTCTTCTTCTGCTTCTCTTCCATTTACCTTCTAGCCTTTCTGGAAGGGGCTCATTGGGTAGGATCCTTAATGCTTTAGAAGCAGCATTGTGTGCCACAGCCTATCTCGTCCTTCCTTTTCCATTAAACTCCTTTCCTCACACAGAAAGTTCAATGAGATAAAGTAAAGGTGTAACTGGAAGTGGGACAGGCACCTCCTCTCATGTTGTAGTTGTGGGTGGACTACATTTGAGATTAAGGGTCCACCGGCTTGTACATTGGGTTTTCCTCAAGTTTCAGGCACAGTGCATTTAGCTCTACAGTAGGAGTTATATGCTTTCTTACAATGAATTGGACCTCGCTCAGGCAAAAGCTTATACTTGGGCTGAGTTTTGTTGAAATGAACTAACTCATTCACAAGACAGTTTGGGGTTTTGTCTTTGGGGTGTGTTGTGTTAGAAGGAACTGGTTACTCTTCTGAGCATATCCTCCCCCCACCCCCACCCACCTCCACTACTGGCAACAGTGAGGAGAGGAAGGAAGAAAGGAAAGGAGGAAGGGAATAGGGAGGGAAAAGGCACAGTGGCTGTGGAAGGGGTGGGTACCACCAGGCCAGGGATCAGGGAAAGGGGGAGTGGAATGAATTAAGGAAGCAGCTGCCTGTACAAACACTGAAGATGCTACAGTGATATTTTTATAAAATATAATAAAATTCTTCTGAAGCACTGTACAAAAATTTTATAGAGAGTCATTTCGGTGTCACCCCCTCTGACAGTGACACCTGATGTGGTCCACATTCCCTGACCTCCACCTTGTGATGCAACCAGTATGTATTTGCTGATTGAGCGGAACAAGGTGCAGAATCTGCCTTCAAATGCAGTTAGTTATTTGCTATAGAACTGGTTGGCCAGACTTGTTGAAGTAGGAGTTTCTAAGAGTACGTGTGGCGTTATGAGATGTGTAGGTGATATGGGAGACCTAGAGAGATTTGCATATATTATGGTAGATTGTTGAGGGCATGGTACAGATCTTTGACCTTATTTATCTTGTTCTACCTCCATGAGGTTTCTTTTGCCTTCTATCATCTTCCCTCTTGACAACAAAGAAGAATCCAAATCATAGCTTCTCCTGCTTGTCCTGAAGTGAGATACTTCCTGGACCCCATCATCAACCATTGTTGGACCTGGGGCAGCAAAATTTCATCCCACTTCAGTGAACTTCCATGGACCTTTCCTTTTCTCAGACACTCGGTACAAACTGGAGGGCCGCACAGTTCTCTACATCCCTGCGGAGGCCATGAACATGAAGCCTGAGGTGGTGGTAAAAGACAAGGAGTTGGTACAGCGGCTAGAAAGTGAGTAGTTGATATTACCAGTGTCTAGCAGAAATCCCAGAAGAGAGAAAAGACAGGCCTGGATGCTGAGAAAGGAATTGGGTTAGGAGGGCTGTGTGGTGGGAGAGAAAGACAGATGGGGAGCAGTATAAACATACACAAGAGGTTTCACGTTCTGTCCTGTAGTCATCGTGATCCACTGGACCCGTCAGATAAAGGAGATGCTCAGTGCCCAAGAAACAGCGGAGACAGGAGAAAGTTTAGGTCCTCTGGAGGAGATTGAGTTCTGGCGCAACCGATGTATGGACCTGTCTGGTATCAGTAAACAACTGGTGAAGCAAGGAGTGAAACATATTGAGAACATTCTACACCTTTCCAAGTCATCCTATTTGGCACCCTTTATGAAGATGGCCCAGCAAATCCAGGTTTGTGAGTTGACCAATGGATGGAGATTTAGCAGAAAGTGGGCAACGATTGGAATGTTGGAGGGGGCTCAGAAGAGGGAATCAACGTCACCACCAATAGCACAGATTGAGCCAATACAGTGTATGGACTTGGGCTTGTGGGGGAATATGAAAATAGTAGGATACAGAGTTCCTAGGGAGCATGTAGTTAGTTAGGAAGAGATGCATCCAGTTAATCAACAAATACATGTTAAGTGCCCTCTGTGGTCCCAACCCCTATTATTCAGCTGAGAAGACAAGACTTAGCACAAATTAGAAATACAAGATAGCATGGGATCAAAGACAAACCCATATAGTCAAGAAAGTTACAAAATCAGCATTTGTTTATAAATTTGATAAACTGATTATGTTAGTCCCTGGCCACAAAGAAGATAGAAGTGATCTGTAGAATATAGAGATAGAAGATGCTTCTTCCTAGTGAAGGTGAAATTTAAACTCAGCAAACAAGGGCCTTGAGGTACAGTTAGGTGGCGAAGTCTTAAACAGCTGGTGTGAACAAGGCAAGTAAAAAGGATTGGATGGAAATTTTGGGATGTGTGGGAGTAATGTCTAGTTGTGTGATCAACAACTGTCAAGTTACCCATTTTGTGCAGAGTTGTGGATTCAGTTGGAGGAAAGTAGAGAAATAGACATACAAGGTGAACTTGGGTATCCCAGTCTAATAGGGAAGATGAGACTCATGCATGAGAAAAGACTTTAAAACACTGCCTTAGAAACCAATAAATGAGTACAAGCTGCTGGTACATGCAAATTCTGGTTTGAGTTATCACGGAGCTCTGAAATAACTGGAAGGAGGTGAGGTAACTGGGGCAGCTTCATACTAGAGACAAATCAGAATGGGGTTCCAGATGGATAAAAAGTACTAGCTTTGAGCCATATCTTTAAAAAGTCTATTCCTGGTTTTCTTTTCCACCAGGATGGCTTTTGTCAAGCACAGTCAAACCTGACCTTTTTGTCAGTCCTGAAAGAACCCTGCCAGGAATTGGCTTGCATGCGACCTAAGGACATCTCCAGTAAACTCCCTAAATTGATCAGTCTGATCCGCATTATCTGGGTCAACTCTCCCCATTACAACACTCGGGAGAGAATGACCTCCCTCTTCCGGAAGGTGTGTATGAACAGAGGGTTTTAAGAAGGTGGCAAGTTGAACTCAGATTTTTAAAAGAATTTGGAATTCACTTAGTAGATCGTGAGGGAAAAGGGGAGGAGGATAGGTCTTCAGGTACCTGGATTATCAGCTCCAGTTGTGTTCTGAGGCGGTGCCGGGCAGGGCTTTGTTCCAGAGGGAAGGCATGCAGGCAGGAAGAAGGACTTTGAGAAGAGTTAGTGGAGCATCAAGAGGCAGGCAGGATGGTGGACTCCCAGACTGAGGTATATAGAGGAGAGAATACTCTTTTTGTCATTTCCAAAGATGGACATCGGAATGACACCAGGGAGGTAGATTTAGGAAGGGACATGGGTCTTGAAGAGCAGGACCTGGTACATCCTATCTGGGATAACAAGGCTAGAGAGTGGGAGAAGGAGCAGAGCTGTGGGTCTCTGAGAAGTGCAGCTGCAGAGTGTTGTTGAGACAGAATAAGGCTCTACAAGGAGGTGAAGGTCGATGGGGATGGGTGACAGGAGTCAAATGGCAGAGTAGGGCACAGAGACTTGAAGTGTGTCCAGGAGATTCTGAGAAGGGACTAGATATAAGTAAAGGTGTGGGTTGAGGCTGTTGTGACTGCTTCCATAGATGAGCAATGAGATCATCCGCTTATGCTGCCATGCCATCTCCCTGGACCGAATTTTTGAGGGCTATGTCACTTCCAGCAAGGAAGATCTACAAGGCTGCATTTCCTGCTGTGATGCCTGGAAAGATCACTACCTTCAGGCTGTGCAGGCGCATACTCGGTACAACATGTCTCCCCTAATGTCCCAGATAGTAGCTCCCTGGCATTCATTAGAGACGAGGGTCTTACCAACTCCTTTTACTTGAGCTGTTTCTTTCTTTCTTTTCTTTTAAACCTATGAATTATATTTTTCTAGACTTAGGAGTTTCTATAGTGGTCTAAGTTCTCTCTCTGGACTCTAAATTTCCTTATTCTAATAACTGATATTAAGGAGCCCTTCCTGGTCTTTTCCTTCTATGTGGCCCCAAAGTTTTTTTATTATGTGTAAACCTAGAACTTAGATGCTCTGTCTCTTCTATGTTCTTCACACCTTGAGTTTCTTCTGCCAGGGTTCAGGGAAACTTCCTAGGGTCAAATTTCTAAGGCTCTTCATGAACCCAGGAGTCAGCTTGATACCTAGAATTCCTACTTTTTAACTCAGTTACTCTTTCTCTTCATATAGGTTTTTCAACCGGGGCTGGGTCCTAGACCAGACCAGCATATTTGCTCAGGTTGATGCTTTTGTGCAACGCTGCAAGGATCTTATTGAGGTGGGAAAACTGGATGGGGAATCAGAGCCAACAGCAGACCCTCTACAGAGTCCCCATCTGGGAACCGGGAAGATGGGACAGAGGATCCTGTCAAGAGATCAAACAGAATTTACCCCTTTGCCACTCCAGTTCTTTTAGATTTTTGCCTGTTACCACTACTCTTATACCTCATATTTCACTCAAATTCATCTCAGTAGCCCCCTGCATCTGATTGGTATCCCCCTAGGCTTTGGAGATTTTAGGCTAAACCAAAGAGTGCAGGACTTTCAGGTTCAGGAGGGGAAACAGGAGCCCTCACGCTGAGTTCTTTATAGGTATGTGACTGTCAGTACCACTTTGCCCGCTGGGAAGATGGCAAGCAAGGTCCCCTCCCTTGCTTTTCTGGCGCCCAAGGGCCACAGATAACACGGAACCTGCTGGAGATTGAGGATATCTTTCATAAAAACTTGCACAGGCTGCGAGCTGTTCGAGGGGGCATTCTGGATGTCAAGAACATATCTTGGCATGAAGACTACAATAGGTGAGAGAAACAGGAGGAACAGGAAAGTAGCCTGGGGGAGTGGCAAGAGTATATAGAGGACTGGGACATAATCAGGGGTGGAAAGGCAGGGGAAAGTGAAAGACAGGAAGGTGGCTGGTTCGATTAAGATTTCCTGAGTTAGATTTGTTCTGAGAATTAAATGAGCACATGCTTATAAAATGACTGCCCCTAGAAAGTCCTTCGAACACAATAACACATGTTATTCCTGTAAGCGGATGTCCTTAGGAACTGGTGAGGGTACCCACACTTCAACATACTTCTCTAATGGCACAGATTCCGTGCTGGGGTCAAGGACTTGGAGGTTATGACTCAGAATTTGATCACCTCGGCCTTCGAGTTCGTCCGAGATGTGGAACATGGAGTGCTACTCTTGGACGCTTTCCACAGACTTGCAACCCGTGAGGTACTGCTCACTCAGAGGTTCCCTCAGCCCCTGGTTCTCTTTTGCTTTCCTTTAGTTCCTCCTCATGCTTCCAGGCACCATCTTTATCTCCATCTGCACTTTTTCCCATGTCCAGAGTTGTCAGTGCAGAGTCTTGGCATGGCACTGTAGGATAAGCACTGGGCTGCAAGATCAGTTTGAACCGCAAGGTCCGTGGTTCAAACTCACCAACCACTCCTCAGAAATCCTATGTAGGGTTGCTCTGAGTCGGAACTGACTTGATGGCACTTAACAACAAGAAGTCACGAGTGCCTCTTTTCTTCTTCTGTTACCTTAATTCCAAGGTCATTAAGGGGTGTAACTAATATAGTAGAGGTGTAACTTTCTTCTGAAACGAGGAAGTGGAGGGAATTGGAGGGAGCCGACATCCTCAGGGCATTTCTTCCTTAGGCTATAAAGCGAACGTATGACAAGAAAGCAGTAGACCTCTACATGCTGTTCAAGAGTGAACTAGCCCTTGTGAATCATGAGTTAAACAAGAAACAGCCATACCTGGAGCCTTTCATGGCCCAGTATTCTGGATACGCACACTTCTTAAGGAGCCTTCGGCATCGCCTCGATAGAGTTATGAGTGTAAGTGTCAAGTCTTTCCCAAAATTTCTCCTCACTGGGATGTCAGGGTTTGCACCTGGGTTGCATGCTAGGAGACATGGAAGTCCTAGAGAGTTTTAATTATCAGACACTAAGTTGCATCAGAAGAGTGGCAGTCTCACTCCTGTAAAGTAGATCATGGTTTTGGATCTGAGAGATGGTGCATGTGGCTGGAAAAACATGGATCATTTTAGGAATTCTATGTCAAAGTGAAAGAGAAAGAGTAGTAGGGCCAACATCTGGAAAGTTGGCTCAGTAGAAAAGTAATACAACCTTAAGATCCAGAGACCTGAGTAGATGAGGTCTTTACAGGGCCTATTCTCCCTGGAAAATGAGGCATAAAGAAACAGAATTTTCTTTTTTTAACTTTTTGGGCAATTAAAAGGTCTGAAGCTATTGAGGTATTGACCTGCTGTCATTTATTTGGCTCCAGAAGGGAATAGGCAGCCTACAGATAATTGGAAGCTTATTAAGAATGAGTGGACTAAGACTGAGAGAAAGAAGCCTGATACTGGTTTTTAACACTGGACCTCTTAATCCTTCACCACCTAGAATTTCCTTTCTTCTCACAGTTTTTCCCCCCTTGGGATGAATCTTTGTGAGTCTCTTTCTTCATTTTGACTCCTTTTCTCAGTGTGCCTTTATCTCTTCCTGTTATCTTTCTTTTTGATTTCATCTTCCCTATATCATATGTCATCAAAATCAATCACTCTCCATAGCAATATCTGTTTTTGTTTTGTGTGTGTGTCTAGGAGATGGGAGTATGAGGGGATGTGGTAAGCAGGCTCTACCTGTCTATGGCTCTTTCCCCTCAGTGCCTTTCTAGTGCTCACTTCCTGCCCCATACTGGCACTGGAGAAGAGAGTATACACACCTATCAGCAGACGGTTCAGGCCATTGATGAACTGGTTCGAAAAACCTTCCAAAGGTGGACATCGACGCTGGACAAAGATTGCATTCGGCGACTGGATACTCCATTGTTACGCATCAGCCAGGAGAAGGCTGGCATGCTGGATGTCAACTTTGACAAGTACAGAACTCAATCTGACTTCCTTTTCCTAAACTTTGCATATTTCTGGTGCAATTCTCCCCCTCCAGTTCTCTCAAGAGCTTAATTCCCTTATCTTAGTCCCTTTCTCCATTTTTCTCCCTGATTCTTTCATATGCTATAGTATCTATGCTGTCACTTCTTAGTTTTAATTATATGATGGTAAGTAAAAGAGTATTGCTACTAGGGTTCAAGTTCACACATGCATGGGTTTATTCCAAACAAAACTTTTAAACATGTCTCTGTGATCAGTGGATAGCTGATCAGTGAATGACAGGTTCTGTCAACAGTACACTTGTCTTGGTCTAGTTAGGGTACTTGACAAAAAAGATGTCTAATCAAAGCAGTGACTTCCAAGGGGATCTGCTGGGCCAGTTAAAATCAAGGCAGAGAGGTCAGCTCAGAACGTATGTTATTGTTGTTGTTGTTACTAGGTGCCACTCATAGTAACCCTACACCACACAACAGAACAAGACACTGCCGGGTCCCACTCCATCCTTACAATTTTTACTCATGAGCCCATTGCTACTGCCACTGTGCCAATCCATCTTTTTGGGCGTTTCCCTCTTTTTCACTGACCCTCCACTTCACCAACCATGGAGTCCTTCTCCAGGGACTCGTCCCTTCTGATAACATGTCTGAAGTATGAGAGACGAAGTCTGGCCATCCTGGCTTCTAAGGAGTATTCTGGCTGTACTTCTTCCAACACAGATTTATTTGTTCTTCTGGCAGTCCATAGTACTTTCAGTATTCTTCTCCAATACCATAACTCAAATGTATCAATGATTCTGAGGTCTTCCTTATTCATTGTCCAACTTCTACATGCATATGAGGTATCTGGAATACCTCTTCTTTCCAGTGTTATCCATAACTTGTCCTGATCCACACAGTCAAAAGTCTTCGCCGAGTCAATAAAGCATATCTTTCTGATATTCTCTGCTTTCAGCCAAGATCTATTTGACATCAGCAGTGATATCCTTAGATCTATGTCCTCTGCTGAATCTGGCATGAATTTCTGGTAGCTCCCTGTTAATGTACTGTTGTAGCCATTTTTGAATTATCTTCTGCAAATATGTACTTGCATGTGATAGTTACGATATTGTTCAATTACTTCAACATTCCATTGTGTCATCTCTCTTTTAAATGGGCACAAATATGGATATCTTCCAATTGGTTGGCCAGGTAGTTGTCTTCCAAATTTCTTGACATAGATTAGTGAGCTCCTCCAGTGTTTCATCAGTTTGTCGAGAGATTTAAATTTGTATTCCGTCTACTCTTGGAGCCTTGTTTTTCATCCATGCCTTCAGTGCAGCTTGGATTTCTTCCTTCAGTATCATCGGCTCATGATCCTATGCTACCTCTTGAAATGGTTGGATATCAACTTTTTTTTTCTTTTTTGGTACAGTGACTCTGTGTGTATTTTCCATCTTCTTTTGATGTTTTCTGCATCATTCAATATTTTGCCCATAAAGTCCTTCAGTATTCCAAGTCGAGGCTTGAATTTTTCCTTCAGTTCTTTCAGCTTGAGAAATGTTGAGTGTGTGTTTCCCTTTCAGTTTTCTAACTCCACGTCTTTGCACATTTCATTATAATACTTGACTTTGTTTTTTCAAGCTGCCCTCTGAAATTTTCTGTTCAGCAATTTTACTTCTTCATTTTTTCCAGTTGCTTTAGCATCTCTACACTGGAGAGCAAGTTTCAGAATGACACATCCATTTGGTATTTTCTTTCTCTCCTGTTTTTTAAATGACCTTTTGCTTTTTCTCTGTATGTTGTTTTTTATGTCATCCCACAACTATTCTGGTCTTCGATCACTAGTATCTAATGCATCAAATCTATTTTTGAGATGGTCTCTAAATTCAGGTGGGATATGTTCAAGGTCATATTTTGGCTCTTGTGGACTTGTTTTAATTTTCTTCAGCTTTAGCCTGAACTTGCATCTGAGCAATTGATACCTTTGACCTAGTATTGAGCTTTTCTACCATCTCTTCCCACAGAGGTAGTCAGTTTGATTCCTGTGTATTCCATCTGATGAAGTCCATGCATATAATCACCTTTTATGTTGTTTAAAAAAGGTATTTGCAATGAATAAATCATTGGTCTTCCAAAATTCTGTCACTTGATCTCCAGTATCAATCATTTCTATCACCAAGGCCATATTTTCCAACTACTGACCCTTCCTCTCTGTTTTCAACCTTCACGTTCCAATCACCAGTAATTATCAATACATCTTGGTTGCATATTTGATCAGTTTCATACTGAAAAAGTTGATGTTGTTGTTAAGTACCATCAAGTTGGTTTCGATTCATAGCAACCCTGTATAGGGTTTCTGAGGCTTTAAATCTTCTTGGAAGCAGAACGTTTTATCTTTCTCCTACAGAGCAGCTGGCGGTCTTGAATGGTGGACCTTGTGGTTCATAGTCCAGTGCTTCTGTATGGAGCCACTGCCCTCACGAAGATGTTGATAGAATTCTTCAATTTCATCATCACTGGCTTTAGTGGTTGGTGCATGAATTTGAGTAATAGTGGTATTAGCTGGTCTTCCTTGTAGGTATATATGGATATTATCCTATCACAGACGGCATTGTACTTAAAGATAGATCTTGAAATGTTCTTTTTGGTGATGAATGCTATGTCATTCCTCTTGAATGTGTCATTCTTGGCACAGTAAATCATATATGTCAGATTGAAAATGGCCAGTACCAGTCCATTTCAGTTCACTAATGCCTCGGATGTAATCTTTATGTATTCCATTTCATTCTTGACAACTTCCAATTTTCCTAAACTGATAATTTGTACATTCCATGTTTAGATTATTAATGGATGTTTGTGGCTGTTTCTCCTCATTTTGAGTTGTGCCCCATCAGCAGGTCTTGAAAGTTTTACTCCATTCACATCATCATGGTCAACTCTACTGTGAGGAGGTAGCTATTTTTGAGTGCTTTCCAACCCGAGAGTTTCATGTTCCAGAAATATATCTGACAATGTCCTGGTGCGATTCATAATGTTTTCATCTTTTGGCATTATACCTGATAGTGTTCACTGCTATTCATAAGGTTTTTAATGGCAAAATGTTCAGAAGCAGTCTGCCTCTTTTTCTTCCTAGTCTGACTTAGTCTGGAAGCTCCGCTGAAACCTGTCCACTGTGCGTGACCCTGCTGGTATTTCAAATACCAGTGGCATACCTTCCAGCTTCACAGCAACTTGCAAGATAGCACAGTATGACAAACTGATAGACAACTGGTGGCAGGAGGTTATAGTGACTTTTTTTTATGACTCCAAAGGGGTCATCTTAATAGATTTTCTTGAAGACATAGGACAATCATGGGAGCTTATTAGGAAGAAGTTTGAAGAAAATGGAAAACAAATTAGAAAAAGGTCAAGGAAGTTGTGCTGAGGAAGAGCTGCCTATAAGAATTTAGTTGGGCAACTTTATTCCATTTACCCTAGAGCCCTGGTCTTGTTTTTGTCCCTTCAGACTTCTTTTTTGTCCCCTAACATCCAAGTACATTTAAAGGAGCATGATTTGAATCCTTCGAGGATGCCAAAAGTGTTGTTTTGACATGCTGTAAATCGAAGAGTGCAGAATTCTTCCAGGAAGGATTAGAAAGACGGAAACACAGTCTTCAGAAATGTCAGACGTGTATAGACCTAGATGGAGGCTATGTTGAGAAATAGTAACTTCACATTTTGATATTTTTATTTAATGAAGGTTTATATGAGTTTGTACCAATAATTTTTTACTTACCATAATACAGTCTATCTTTCAAAAATTGATTTAGAAAAAAAAACTAACTCATTGGAGGAGCCCTGGTGTGGTGCCATCAGATAAACACTGGACTACTAACCACAAGGTTGGTGGTTCAAACCCACCAGCTGCTCATTGGAAACTCTATACAGGGTTGATGTGAGTCAGAACTTAACACCTAATTAGTGCAAACGACTAATGCACTCTGCTGATAAATTAGAAGTTGGTAGTTAAGTCTACCCAGAAGCTCCTTGGGGAAAGTCCTGGTTAGTCTGTTTCTTAAAAATCAGTCCTTACAAACTCCATAGAGTACAACCATACATTGAGACAACCATGGATAAGAGTCAACTGGATGGCAACTGGTGTTTGGCAGTGGTGGTAACCTACTAAACCAGTGATTTAGGTATTCTGCCACTAGAGGGCCATATGGCTCAGCTAACTCATTGAGACTATGGCCCATGGTGTTTGTCTTCCAGAATTTGATGGAGCTTTGAGATCAGGCCCTCTCCTACTACAGCTTTATAATGGTGACTTTCTTTTTTTTTCCTACTTGAAAGAATTTTTATGGGCCAAGCTTAAAAATGGTATACGTGCAGTTCCTGGGTTATGAACATTTGGAATGCATACAATCTATACCTACTCTGACTCACATGCAACCTATACTTACGAATCCCTGTGAAGTCTATTATATTAAAAATTCAGAGTACATACATTAGGTTGTAAAGACAGACAGCTACTTTGTGATGTGCATAAAAAGATTAACGTTTTCATTGTATTATTATGCTACAGATGTTGTAGTGTATCTGTATGTGTTTCTTTAATTATAATGGTGACTTTTCATATTATAAGTACTTAAAGGGTAGTTAATTGTTTACTCATTTATTTAACACATGCATAGTGAGTGCCTTCCGTGCTAGAAATGGAGACAGGCACAGGGAATATGTGAACGGACACAGTCCCTGCCCTCAGGCAGGTGAGGCTCTTCCTAGTCTGTCAGTCACAGGTCTCCTGCTGGTTCAGTGCACCTCCTTTCTACATGAGATGCAGAAGAGAGAAAAAAAGAAGGGACTTTGTAAGGCATCTGCTTGCAGAGATTACAGACCTTTTGGTGACAGTTTTTTTCTAATCAGAAGGAAAATAACGTTCCACTTGATTGCTTTTTGATGCCTTTTGTCTTTAGCTGTGCCCCGTAATATTAGGTGCTTCTAGTGCTTCTAGGCTGTTGCTACTAACG